TTCCAGGCCCTTGCTTCTCCCAATGAGGTGAGACTATTGGTCAAGTGTGGGTTGTCACCACCAGGGTGGGGTTTGGACAAGGGAGGGTCAGCAGGATGGACATATGTGTCTCTGATAGTGTTGGGTGGCTCTATCAGGGGGATTCTTCTGCCCTTCCCCACCATCCACTATGCATGTCGTATCTCAGTCTTCCCACCCCATCAGCCCTGAGATGACCTGCAGGCTGACCACGAGGCATGACTAGAATTCAGAGGCGTAAGAATTAGAGATCTTCTGGGCATTGTATCAGGTGTTTACAAGACATCACTCTGTTGTTTTCTTTGGGTATAAAAGAAGCCATAGCTTTTCTTGGTCACCAGTTTTCCTAAAGCTTAAATGAGGCTTATACTTTTATAAGTGAAGAAGAAAAGATCCCAATCCAGCTTCAGTTCAGAAATAGGACAGGTAAAAACTAAGTAATTTGGAGAACTGAGTACTGCCTGATTGTTGGCGAGTTCTATTAAAATATATGTGCATCACCTTGTCTGAACAATTTTGTTCATTCTGATTATACACACAGTGTCTCTGGCCAATGTGAACTATTCACTCAGTTGTTTCAGAAGATACAGAACTGAGTATTGGAGAAAACTGAGTGTTCCACAGAAAATATTAGACTCTGTGGCCACAGCTAGGGATTAGGGGAGTTGTCTCTGGCATTTATTATATCTACACTCCTTTGTTGTGGTTAACCATTCCTCATTTCTAATCAGGCAGAGGCAATCCTCACTGACAGTGTTTCACACACTACTATCCTGTAGCCTAATGTGCTTTGGTCTCATGCGTCTCAAACAAGCATTTATAGGTCTAGATGGGGCACACTTCCAGGGAGAGAGGAAATGGTTTATATTATATATATATATTTAAATATAATATATAATTATATATATATTTTATATTATATATGTATTTATATTTATATATGTATATATAATAAAATATAAATATATATATCATATTATATAAAATATAAAATATATATATGTATTTTTTTCTCTCTCTCTCTATCTCAGAGTTTATTGTTCCCATGTTTTAAGCTCCAGGAAGCTGGTTTGTTTGTTTCTCCCGGAGATGACTCTTACAAAAAAAATTTTTTTCTCAATTTAAGAAATAATCTCCATGTGTATTTACAAAGGTACTCTAACATGTAAAGAGTTCAGCCCAATATATTAGTGTTGGATTTCTGCTAGTATAAAAGAAATCCTTTGTCTGTTTGATATAGTGAAGGCTTTTATCAATTTATCTTGGGAAAAAAACTTACATTTACACTGTGGATAAGAATTGTTAAGGTGCTGGAAGCTACTTTATCATGACAGACTTGATTATCTGTGAGCTCTCAAGTCCAAGCTGTGCTGATGTGAACACTTTGGTACAGAGATATAAAGAAAAAATGTGTGAATCAATCCCAAAAAGATTTCTTCAAGGGAAGAAGTCAATGACATAAAAGAAACCCAAGGAAATGTTGACCACAGCCAGGAATCCCACCTACCCTTAGCCATGTGCATGGTCGGAGGGAAAGGCTCAGGGCCCTTGTTCCCTGATGGCCCTGGTGCTTGTTTGGCCCACTGTGTGCACACTGGGACCCCACAGACTTGGGGATATCTGCATCTCTGAATGTTGGCAAATAGCCTCCCACATTTCCAGCAAACCAACCATGATTCTGGTAGTTACCTCTAACTCCTGCTTTTCTCTCACCTTCTTTAGACAATTACTTTGCAAGAATTTTTTACTTCTCCCGTTCATGGCTGTTTCACACTTCCACCTTATTTCCATGCTCACTGTTCCGCCTGCTGTCTGGAAGCTTATCGCATCGATGCTAGATCATCATCACAGTCATCTATCAGTTTTTTGGTCATTCATCCATCACGTACTTAAAAAGCACATATTGACCGAGGCCAATAATGCCATGCATTGTTTTACATTTTTTTTTTAACGTTTATTTATTTTTTTGGGACAGAGAGAGACAGAGCATGAATGGGGGAGGGGCAGAGAGAGAGGGAGACACAGAATCAGAAACAGGCTCCAGGCTCTGAGCCATCAGCCCAGAGCCCGACGCGGGGCTCGAACTCACGGACCGCGAGATCGTGACCTGGCTGAAGTCGGACGCTTAACCGACGGCGCCACCCAGGCGCCCCCATGCATTGTTTTAAAAACTGAGAATCTTGGGGATCCTGGGTGGCTCAGTTGGTTAAGCACCTACTTCAGCTCAGATCATGATCTCACCGGTCTTGAGTTCTGGCCTGCTTGGACTTTTCCCTCTTCCTGCTCATCCCCCTCTCTCAAAAATAAATAAACATTAAAAAAAAAATGTAAAAAAATTCAAGGGAAAAATGAGAAAAAGGAAAAAAAAAAAAAAAATATCTAATCTCAGCATGCTCACATACTAGTGGGTAGAGGATACTGACACTAATAATTAAATCAGCAAAGAAGTTCAGATGGTGTTTGTTATATGACGAGGAACAAAATGCATCTGATGACATGGTGGCAAGTGACTAGACAAAAATAATGTAAGGACAGAGGTCTGAAAGGAAGATACATTTGAACTGGGACCTTGATGACAATATGGAGCCAGGCATAAGTAATTTCCTTGAAGCCAGGAAAGGCAAGTGTGAAACTTGGAGGCTGGACAGAAAAGGAGAAAGAAAGAAGGAAAGAAAGAAAAGAAAGAAAGAAAGAAAGAAAGAAAGAAAGAAAGAAAGAAAGAAAGAAAAGCCTAACACGACAAGCCTAAGGCATGACAAGATCTGAGAGAGAGAGATGTTAAGGGAAGAGTGGGAAGGAGCAAAGTTGGAGTGACGGCCCCAGGCCTCACCATTTGGGCACCTGAGGGTAGAGTGTGGGTATTTTACACTAAGGCGTGGGAAACGAGCAGAGATTTGTAAACCTGGCATCAGCGTGATTGCTAATCTACTCAACACCCACAGCGAGGCTAACTTTCTCACTGTCCTGTCCATCACATTACAGCTTTGTCTATAACTCGAAATTAACTTCTGGTCAGAGGAATACTCCTGTGATCCTCCCCAACTATTCTGTGCAATATCTTTCCTTTCCCTTTTGATCTCTCAGGGCTCATCTGCTTGACTGAGCTGCCTTCTCAGCTTCTTCTGGTTCATCTCCCCCCACCTAAATCCCCACTTCTCTGAGTAGTTCATAGGGATCTCCCTTCTCTGAAACACTGTAGCAAATCTGCTGGCTCCCGCATGCTGTCTCCTGATGGTATGCAGTCAATTTAATGTCCCCAGCGGCTCTCACCACTTAAGCCACAAAGTTCTTTCCTAAAGCCCAAGGCCGGTTCTTTGGAGGTGATTTCAAAGAGTTATCCCCCTGCTCAGACCTCCAACCCCTCCCATCCCTAATCTATCCTCACAAGAGCTGGTGGCAAACCAGCTGCTTTTAGAAAACATGTTCCCCCCTGTTAGCAGAATGGAATTGCAGCCCTTGCCTGGACCTTGACCTTTTGAGAACTGGGTTAATTTTCCCTAGAAGAATCCCCACTGGTACTCTATCTCCATCCTTGGTCTTCACCAGTCCTCACTCAGACCCATGTAATCATCTGGTTCAGAGGAGTTCTTGTCCCGTGACACCCATCCTCTGTCATCACAGCCTTCCCCATGCCCCCAGCCACGTCATTAGCTTTAACTTGAAGAGCCCCTAAGTGTATGTTTTCCCCAAATGTATGTCCCAAGCATATATTCCTTTCATTGCCCTATTGTTTTTTATTTTCTTGCCAAAATCTTTACGGCATACAAATATTGAATGGGGAGACTGCATGCACACACACACACACACTCACAGCGCAACAAATAATTCCTGGGATTCTCACAAGTGTAACAGCACATGGGAAAAGTAGAACTGAAGACAATCAGTAAAGAATTCTTAGCAGAGCACTATTATTACCATTGCTATTATTATTATTATCATTACTACTACTGCTACCACTCCTATTGCTATTGTTTGAAAATAAAGCTCTTCTTTGCTGACTCTACAATACTAAACAGGGGACTCAGTGATCCCAGTTTCCCAGGAGCTGTGGAGGTGGCAAGAGGTAACAGATATGTACGAGGGACAGTGTTCCAGGTGGGTCTCCAGGTATCTGGCCAGCCAACTTCCATTTAGAACCACACTAATGTCAATTTCCCACAAAGCCTGGGGTCTTGCCTGGTGACTAAACACAAGTGTGTTCTCCTTGCTGGACTAACCCCTGGCCATGATTCCACTTTTTCTTTCTTCTCCCCATGACCAATCTCCTATTTTGTGGGCTGAAAAACAAGGACCCACAGGTTTCTTTCCATAGCCACTCCAGGACACATGTTCTTGCCATTTCCCTCCCTCAGAGACGATCTGACCCACCTTAGGATTTATAGGATGTAAGTTTGAAATGGGTCTCTAGGAACAATTTTGTACAAGTGTCCAGCCTATATATGAATAACCTTAGCAATGTATTTGTGAACCGTAGGTTCCTTCCTTATATAGAGCCAACATTTGCCTGCATAGATATTTCTCCTTGGCCTTGTTTTTTCTGCCTCCAGGAGAGAAAAAAAGTAAAGTTCAAGTTACCAATAGTCATTTTTCTTCACCTCTATACAAGTCTCTTCTAAAAACAAAGAATTCAAACAGGTCCTAGACTGCAGTCAGGTCAGTGCTCAGTTGTCTAAGCTGTCCCAAAGCTAAAAGAGGGTGTGAACATCTCCTAGATTTACCTGAAGTTCTTAGGGTCTACTTGTGACATATCACAGCATTGCTTACTCAAATGGACAAAAGTGGCCTTAAGATCATCCAGGTGCTATGAGGACAATTTATATCTCATTGTGAGTGGGACACAATTATATTAGCAATTATCTCTTTAAGGGGGCAATATTTGAGCTGAGGTCACAATGGCATGAAGTTGCTGCCATGGGAAGATACTAAGAAAGAAAGGCTCTGGAAGTTGGAATAGCAAATGTAAAACTCTAAGGCAGGAAAAC